GACGTATCACCTGATGGTACTTAAGCAATCGGCACCGCTCATAGACTAGAGGTAGAGGAGCTTCCAATGCGTTTTCGACATTTTGGGGTAATAAGGCATTTTAAACACAAAGCCAATAAAACTAAGAAATCAATAAAGCTCTTGCCCCAATCACATATAACAGTTTGACAAGGAACGACAAATTTCAAGACACGTTAGAGGCTCATATTCATGGTTAGCATTCCGCGACAGTCGCCGCGTCATGTGTAATTTAGTTATTGTCCCACGAAAGTTATAATAAATAAATAAAAAAGCCTTGTCGAGGAAAAAAACGAAAACCTAAATAACAATTGTTTTTTTTACTAAACTTAACCTATACAAGGTGTAGTTTTGAAATCGTGTCATTTCTCGGAGGCATGTCACATAAGTCTTAAAGGTTCAATGTAAGAAAAAAATTCTTGCCAATAGTTAAAAATACGGCTATAATAAATCGTTTAAGTTCGACAGTATTTCAGAATAAGCGACAGCAATGTATCTTATTGGAGTTTTATGGAATTAGGAATAATATCACTTACGTGTTTGAGTTTGTGTGTGTTAAGCCGCGTTATAAAGCTAGTTACAAGACGGCGGCGTGTAGTTTGCACTTACAGATTTCAGTAATTTACAAAAAAATGAAAAATATGTAACTACATTTTTTTATTGATTCGGACTCAGAATCGATAGCGAAATTACCTCCTAGAAAATGACGCGGCTTTAAAACAACACTTTGTATTATTTTTTGTTTGATTGATTCTAAATGTATTTGAAGATTTAAATATTTTGTTTAGTAGTTGGTTTGTTTTCCAGAACCCCTCCTCGGGTGAAGGCCTCCTCCAACGATTTCCATTACTCCCTATTCAGGGCTTTCTGTATCCAATCATGGCCAGGCGTCCTAACAATCTCATCCTGCCATCTTGTAAGCGGCATTCCTCTGCAGCGCAACGAAATTTATAATAGATAACAAACATAACATAACATAACATCACGCCTTTTTATCCCCGAAGGGGTAGGCAGAGGTGCACATTTCAGCACTTAATGCCACTGCACAATGTAACACCCACTTTTCACTATTTATGTTATAAGTCCCATGTAATAGGGGGTGAGCCTATTGCCATATACCGGGCACATTTCCAGACTCCGTGCTACTACTGAGATTTTTAAAAACCCAGTAATACTTTGCCCGACCCGAGAATCAAACCCGAGACGCCTTACCCGGCAGTCGCACTTGCGACCACTCGGCCAACGAGGCAGTCTATAATAGATACAAACAAAGAAATAATACATTAATCATTTAGTACTTTAGCTCATAGTTATCAAAGGTACGATTAGACGTATAATCCTTTAGAATAAGGCAAGGTACAATTATTAGACTAAGGTAATAATTATGGAACCTAAATAGGTTCTAAGTACTACCTAATGACACGTCTTTGTTATTTAGTATATGTCATGGTTGCTGATTATAACTTGAGAACAGGTTATCAACTAACGTATTATTAAAGATATTGTTTTGCGTGGTAAAGTAATTATGAATAACTTATAATTAAAGATGATTGGTTAAATACAAAGGATGAAAAATATAATGAGAAACACAGAATTAAGTCTGGTGTCATGTTTTTTTTTAATATGTGTTAGTCTAGTCTGTATTTACTGTTACATGTAAAATATTGTAACTAATTAATTTGATACACTATGTACCTAGCACCCTAAACGAAAATTCCTTGATTGAGTCTGATATTAACTCGTCGTGTACCGGTTTTGTAGACACATTTTATAGAACAATAGGTTGCGGTCACCGGTGACCGCTTGGTGTTTGACAGTTTAATTCAAACAGCTCAATCTTTGTATCTGATAGTCTAAGAAGCAGAATCATGGGAATTTCTCAAAGAAAAATACATCAACGTCATTTCTAATGTTATCTTTGAAAAGATATAATATTTAATATTTAGAACAAAATAGTTAACAAGGAATTTCAAATCAATCATTCACCACACAATTTGTTCAAACATGTTCGCCTGGCAAACTCTCTTATATGTCCTACAGTAGATTATCATAGAAAAGTGATGTTTAAATAAATGTACCTGCTTATATAAAAAGCTTTTTCTCTATCTAAATTAGGTACATAAAACCTCTAACAATACCTACATAACATAACATAACATCACGCCTTTTTATCCCCGAAGGGGTAGGCGGAGGTGCACATTTCGGCACTTAATGCCACTGTACAATGTACCTAACACCCACTTTTCACTATTTATGTTATGAGTCTCATGTAATAGGTGGTGAGCCTTTTGCCATATACCGAGCACATTTCCAGACTCCGTTTCCAGACCTCTTGCCAACGAGGCAGTCAGCCTCTAACAATATAGACCTATTAATTGTTCTACAAGACTGACAACCACTTGTACAAAGCAGCTAAATATACGCAGGAACACGTCATGAATCACACATGATTAACAATATCTTCCAGCCCTAATATAACTCGATTAACAAGTAAATTACACACGTACACTTAGGCATATGTTTTTGACGTATTACCGGTATGAAATAATTATTTATGTATGTTTCAGACCTTAGTTCCTTGTATTAGAGGATGAAATTGAATGTATCAATCATCCTCCTTTTATCTTTAGAAGGGGCTGTGGACATGGGTTCTATCGTAATTCTTTTTGTTCTATGTATGTACCTAGTATAGTTTTACGATAGTCTATTATTAGGTTTGTGTCTAGATCATCTATTTATTCGATCATATCATATATTTTGACTAGATATAACAATCGATTCAAATTGACCCAATTACCTGCCCTAATTGCGAAAAATTTACCTAAGTACTTATTGATTACCAGTAACCGGGTATCTTACCTAAATTACTTATTTACCACTTATCACGTCTACCGTATGAAGATCGACAAAATACCAGATAGCCTAATAACCGGTAAAATAAAAAAAAACAATAAAAACGAAAATAGGAAATGTCAAAGTTATTACACCAAAAAAAAAATGCCGAAGCCGTATGCATCATTAAAGAAAAAAAAATTTTTCCCAAACTTTACAAAAACGATATATTTTTTTTCCAATTAACAAAATAGGGCTGGCTGTATAAAAAAAATAGAGTATTCAAAAAGTACATACAGCCAAGCTTTGATCGACGTCGGTTGTGACATGGACGTGGCTTCTATAATCTCATTTGAATTCGGTAGTCCGAGGCACGTGTATTGGGTCAGTAGGAACTACTGATCCATAACCATACAAAATATGATCACGATTCACGTTGCTTTTTGAAGGTGTGACCAAAAGTAAACTTGGATATTTTCGTATACTTTTGTTTACGTATTAGAAAAATGTACTATGTCTACGACCCATATCAGACTCCTATTACAGCTCCATCCAAAGGTTGTCTGTAAGAAATCGCCTTGTGCGATAAGACCGCCCATTGTACACTATTTTTGTTAATATTATCCTATATTGCGATTGTGTGGTGTACAATAAAGCATAATAATATATTATTTTTATTATGTCAAAGGGAGCAAATCTATTATAAGTAACAGACTCCATAGTACCTACATATCCTTACTAATCCTTACTAATATTATAAATCGGAAAGTGAGTTTGTTTGTTTGTTCCGCTTTCACACCGTAATTACTAAACTGCTTTGAATTTTTGTCCGTCAGTGAAGCTAGGCGCTCGTTCCAAAATGTCGATTCGAGTGGAGAAGAACGAGCAAGAAACTCCATTCGTTACTCTTTTAAAAAAAGTCTGTTTTACATTGCTCTGATACATATTCCAATATTGTACACACATGTGAGAATAATGTAAAGACATACCTGACGCAACATACAAATAACAGAACATACTAAAATAGAAAAAAAAAACAAAACCAATAGAAAACAAATATCTTAAGTCTGATATGGTCCTCACATATGTATACTGACAATACATATAAAATAGTGCTTCTATACAAGAAAAAAATCAAAAATAAACTCTTGTTTAAACCCAATAAACAATACCACACCTATGTTCAATTTTCAATCCAATATCGTCTTAAACTGTCAAATACCAAGCGGTCACCGGTGACCGCAACCTATTGTTCTATAATTGTGTCTGCAAAACCGGTACTCGACGAGTTAAAACCGACAATATTAAGGCATATCTGCACTTAATCCTACATCAAAGTGTCCTTTTTAAAATATACAAATACCCTCCCAGAAATTATATCAATCCACTCGTTGCCTCCTCAAATCGAAACACCCTACGTTTCAATACAAATCAGTCGCAGTATACTGTAACAAAATACCTCAATATCATCTTCAACCAATGAACCGAGTGACTTAAGTTCGAATGCCCCACTCCCATCACTTGAGCATACAATGTCAACATTCATTTATTACGCAATAAGACCTCGCCAAGAAAAATCGCTGCGTTTCTAAGACCGGTTCTTTTCGTATACATTATGTACTCTATTGTGTACGTCGTAAAGGTGAATATTGATTGTTATTTTAAGTAGGACTGGAGTAAGTTTGAGTTAAGTTATTACGACATTGTGCTAATGTTGTATGGGAAACGGACCTCTGTATGGTTTCTATGGTGTTTTAGAGTATTTTTTTTAATTTACATGGTGTTTCGAAAAGTTTTCCTTAACTAAGAGCACATACAGATCTATATCTTTTATTTGATGTCCCTTTCATCACAAAGTGAGCTTACATTTGAAGCGTAGTAATTTAAAATATCTTATAAGATATAACGATAGTGTCAACGTTGTTTCTTTACAAATAAATCGTTTAATTATCTTAACTCAATCTTCACTTCTAATAATAATACCTATCGTATAATTTTTATAACGATGTAATGCCTTCTAATCGTAAAAAACACAATAGTATTTTACCTAAAACAATAAAAAAAACAGTACAGTAGAACGATCAACAAACATTTAGATTAAAATTAAACGTTAGGTACTTAAGATATCAAAAAATATAATCAAACCTCACCTTTAATTGAAGATGGTCATAAATAAAATTCAGTAGTCTCCAAAACTACTCATTATCGAGCGAATGCACCAACCGCCCATGAACTTGACGTAAATTCGTTGCTATAGTAATGCTCTCCCAGGGAAAACGACCCCTAGCGAAATCACATCCAAAATACGCAATTCAAAAACCAAAATATTCCATTCAAAAAATCGTAAAAATAAAACTGAGCACTTTAACAGAACATAGGCACCTCTATTACGGATAAATATTCACAATTCGAATAAATTTTGTAATTCGAACGCTTATTTTTTTATGCGCGCAACGGACGCGCGTCTTCGCGGCGGTACGGAGCGCACTACGTAAATGTCAGCACAATCGGCACATGTGCGGGCCGTAGTAAGGCTGTGTGTACCTCGCTAGCATTTTTCCGTGTTACTTTTTGATGAATAGGTATTTGCGAACGTGCTTCTTAGTGTTGTAGTTTCGATTATTCATTTTGTGTAATGTAATGTTGTTTATTAATATTTAATGACAAAAAAGAATACAGATTTTAATATTGTTGATTTTAACGACTTAGCAATGTTTTGAATTATTGTCAAAAATGATATTAACAAGCTTTTTTATTACCATTTTTGTAAGTAACTCGTTTAAAAAGTGATTTAATTAAACTGTCAAACACCAAGCGGTCACCGGTGACCGCAACCTATTGTTTTATAATTGTGTCTGCAAAACCGGTACTCGACGAGTTAATCTAGAAAACAAACCAGATAATTTATATTCCGATCCGATATCGACGCGCGTACGATGAAAGTGAAAGCAAGTAGCATGTTGTGTCATTCATAAACGTGGAGGTTGCCCAGTAACCTGTCGTTCAAAAGTGAATCTGAACTCGCTTTACCTGTTAATGAAGTGAACTGCGAAATGTCAGAATTTCCTATTTCAAAACTGTTAGCCACACTTAAAAATATGTGTACCTGGCGGTAGGACTACATTTGCAATCTTTATTGTGTTATACTGAGGAAAGTAACATTGTTAAGATCGATTATTCGATACTTATAAATATTGTTTTCTTAATTTTTTTTTTATTTATATTTTTTAATTTGTTTTTTTAATAAAACGTCGACTGGAGAACCTATATCGTGGGTGCGTTTAAAACATACAAGTTTACATACACATGACACCCAGACCCGGAACAAAAATCTGTGGATCACGCAAAGAATTGTTCCGTGCGGGAATCGAACCCGCGACACGTTGTGCGGCAGTCACTTGCCCAACCACCGTGCCAAGCGTGCAGTCAAATAACAATAATGTAACACTGGAAAACATTTATTTATTTATATATTATACATACAAGTTAACATTATAGGTTATTTAGGACTTAATGCGATAACTAGGCTTTATAAATATAGTTTTGAATCTATTTAATTATGTTGATAACAAAAATAATAAAAACTTTAATGATAATATTTCCATTCCATAACCTTACTAATAGGAAAATCCATTAAGTGATACTTTTATCAAATTAAAACTACAACATCAAGACAAAATAATTTTGCAAATCATAAAAACGAACGCAAGAAAACGCCCTCAACTGTGGACACAGCTCAATAAGGTGCGAGCGAGACAGCATTCCAGCCGGGGTTGTACATCCGCTTTTCTCGGCGTTATGTAAGCTACGGCCCTGGAGCTGAGCAACCCTCCTCCCCGCTACCCCCCGCAGCCGGGGGAGACACGGTACACTGGGGTGAAGGTATCCCCACGATATGAGCGTCAGTTTTGCCTGATGATGGCGTCACTAATTCTTGATGTTTCACGTTTGATGAAAAGGGTGATACGGTTTTTTGGGATAGGGATTATTGGTTCACGTGATTTGTTTTTATAAATTGAATTTTTTTTGAATTTTTTTTGTTTGGACAGATTTTGTTAGATAAGTAATTTGTGGCTATCTCTGTTCTCATTTATCATCTCCAATTAGCAGAACAACAAAAAAAAATACTAACAATAAAGAACACCTCTTATACAACATCAGTATGTTGTATAAGAGGTGTTCTTTATTGTGAAAAAAGATACATACCTACATAAAAAAAAAGTTCATCAAACATTTCTCGCCACTAACAATGAGAACACACAAGTACCTTTAATCACGTGGAACAAAAACCACATGTGTTGTAAATACTGTAACACACAACACAGGTTCAACACAGGTTGCGAAGTTCGTGTTGGTACACACGGCTGCAGATGAAGCTATAAAAACCAGTTTCTCATGGTCTCGCTTCGTATGGTCTTTTCCCACATTCGGCGGTCAGCTTATACTGGTTTACGAGTGACAAGTACGTAGGGCATAACTCTAGCTAAATGTACGCTTTGAATTAAGGATGTCACAATTGGGTACTTGACATCTAGTCAAGTTCAATACTTTTTTTGAACTGTCAAAAACGATAGTTTTCTATGAATTTTGTACGAGATTGTGTAGGTTATTGTGTTTTTTAGCGTCAAACGGCATACTTATTTCTTAAAAAATTGCTGGAAACATATTAAAATTAAGTTGGTCATAAAATCAAATAATGAAAGTGATTATTTTTTATTAAATATTTTATTGTATTGAACAGTCGAAATAGGAAAGCACCTAATTTCCACGTGTAACCGAATGGGTGAAAAGAAATTCAATATTCGACAATTTCCGGACTGTAGTAAATCAAAATCATTTTTTTTTTTTGTGTTCTGGCCTTTGGTATGATTTTCTAGTTCTTTTTTGTATTGTTTTGAAGTATTTTTTGTATTAAAAGACTTGTTTTGATACAAACGATTGGGAATTTATTTGTGTAAAGTAAATTGTTCAGTTTCCACGTATTAAGAAATGTGAAATGAAACGTAACAACGATCCCAGTTTACAACTAACAATTTGAATAAAACTAGTTTCATTTTAACGCGCAATTTATCCCTCGGCATAACATTTCAAAATTCGGCTATATCTACCGAAATATTCGCGAACCCTCCCCACTGCGTCCGAACTGGGTTAACGGAATTTGGACCTCCGTGCTTACTGAAATAAAACTCATTAAGTCGCCAATTTGTTTATCAATTTCGCTGGGACATTCTCTTTTATTTTACAACATGTTGACACCCCTTGTTTTTCCAACAATTTATCTTCGTTTGAATTTTGTATTGTCAGCTTTGTACCTCACGTATTGAAAAGATACACTGAACGCGTTTTAATCATACTAGGTTTTATATACGTGGATTAAACATTAAAAATCAAATCGATATTCCATATTCAAATATCGGTTTAAACATCAAATGCGATATACATTATTCAATCACACCCTGTGAATAATTTGAACACATTTATTTTTATTTTTTAGCTGGTTCGTAGTACAGGGTGTCTATAAATAGAAGTTTCATATTTTGTGTTATTTTATTCAGTAAAATATAAGGGTAACGTAGATTCGTTTTGAATAGATAATGAAGGTAATTTTGTAAAATACTTGTGTAGTAGAAAGTGAAGGAAAAACAAGGAAAAAGGTAGATTTGATGGGTTTTATAAAATAACACGGGTTTTCAACATATAACATACATTAGGTAATTGTTTTTCTGAATATCTATACATACGGCTACACATCGAGCTTTACATAACCAGTATAAACTGAACGTTAAATGTGCGGAAAGATGATGCGACGTGATACCAGGATAAACTGGTTTTGTATAGATTGATGTTTGGCCGTGTGTATACATATTACCCATATTATTATTCACTATTCCACTTATTCACACAACGCCGGAACAAGAGACACATTATCGAGAATTAATAAATAAAAAGGTGATTCCACGGTTGACGCGGTGGCTGGGCTGGCTACTGCGCTACGCGTAGCGGGTTCGATTCCTGCACGAAGCAACTCTTTGTGTGATCCACAAATTGTTGTATCTGGTCTGGGTATCTTATGCATGTCAAATTGTATGTTTGTGTACCCACTATGTTTGTGTATACAGGAGAAAAAACTAGTGTGGGGCTAATTTAAAAAAAAATCTTTGGTTCAAGACAATATTATCTATTGGATATTTCAGTTTCTCGAAAATTGTTAGTAAATGGTTGGAATTGCACCCGGTGTATAACAATAGTTTAAACCCCTATTTACATGCGACTCATAACATAACCGGTGATAACTGGATATTAGGTACATCGGATGAGTGTACCTTTGTCTACCCTTTCGGAGATGAAAAGGCATGGTGTCATTTCATATAGCAAAACGAGGGATTGTATTTTAAGAATCCTGCTAAAAATTCAAACTTGATAACTATATTCCGATGTGTATCAGAAAGGTACCACACAAATATTAATTATTAAATCTATGGAATGTACCTTTTTTATGGAATAGGAGGCAAACGAGCAGACAGATCACCTAATGGCAAACGATCAGCGCCGCCCATGGACACCCGCAACACCAGAGGAGACACAGGTGCGTTGCCGGCGTTTTAAAAAGGAATACGCTCTTTTCTTGAAGGTATGAAGGTCGTATCGGTTCGGAAATACCGCCGACGACAGATCATTCTACAGTTTTTCTGTGCGAGGCAGAAAGCTACGTAAGAAGCGCACAGTTGTGGCCTGCAAACCATCGCGACGGCAGGTATCATGTCAAACAATTCCTCAGAGCACTCCCCGTGGTATAAGCGATAGAAAATGCACAACGAATTTGGTGGGCCGACCTACAGTAAGAACTCCCAAATACTGCTAAAGTTATAACACTCGTAATTCCAAAATGGAGCGGTTCCGTAACGTGTAATTTCATAATTAATTACAATTAATGTATGCTTGTAAACAACACAGCCGCGGTTACCGTGTGGTTACTGAGTTACGATGGAGGCACCCCTAACGTTCGGAATAGGTAAGGAATTCCCGCCTTGTCAAAATCAGTGAAGTAATGTACCTAGTTACTTATGACTAACTATGTAATTTATTTGTTTATTATATATGTTTTTTATACATAGCACACAAAAAACAACACATATATAAAAACGAGGTACATAAATCTCACATATTCCAACTGGAATTTCTTCCTGTGGGCCTGTGGCAGGAAGAGAAATAACGACACCGAGACACAACGTGTTACACAAATAGGATAAAATAAATAAAAACAAACAATTTCAAAGAAGTACAAGTATTGATAAATAAAATAATCCAAAACAATACAATATTGATAAATAAAATAAATCTCTCATTTGTCTCTTAAAGATAGAGATAAACTTAGCGTCTCGGATGGATGTTCGGCGGGTATTTTATTATTGTGTGCACTTAACTATGTATTAAAATGTAATTTTATTTATAAAATAGCAAACGAATA